AGTGTGATCCGAGATCCCTGCCCTGGGAAGGTGGAGATGCATCCCAGACTATAGCAGCACATTCAAAGGTATTCCTTAAATCCTAGTCTGATGCCTAAGCTACCAAAGGACCAACCAGCTTCCAAGTGAGAGTCTCCCATTGCCCAGGGAGCCAGGGAAGGGGCGAAGGGGGAAGGCACTTTTTCGGGAGGAGAAGAGAGCAGCATCCAGGCCCCACAGCAAGGAATGCCACATCTCCTCCCTCCCTATTTCCCAGCAGTTAATAAATTAAGCAGCTCTGTGGGCCAGCGAGATCTGAGGGGACGGTGCCCAAACCTGCCCCCTCCCAAGGCCAGGACCCTCCTGCTGTCCACACAGGAGGGGAACACGTCCCCACATATCCCGAATCCAACAGCAATAACAAACAAGCCCCACAGTTCCCCTCCCAGCAGAAGCAGCCACACAACTCCCCCCGGAGCTGCAGGAATCTGGCACGAAGCAATGGGGACTGAGGGGCCACCCTGCAGGTCCAGAGCCCCCCTGCCCGGGGGGAAATGGGGGAGTATCTCCCTCCTCCAGGACATGCAGGTCCCTCCCACGGCCCCACAGCCCCCGGTTGGGGGAGGAGTTGGGGGTTTGGTCCTGCAGGGCAGGTCAGGGCTCGCTGTCCGTGATTTGTGGCCCACATGGGGCTGGAAGTCACCGTCAGCACCCCCGAGAGCCAGGGATACACCAACACAGAAACAACTCCAACTTCTTTCGGGGTCCTGCTCCCCTCCCCAGCATTCTTGTGCCCTGACACCACAACACCAGTCGCTTCACCCCAAGCCACCTGCAGTGGCTGCCGAGCGGCTCCGAGCACAGACCCTGCTCCACACCCCAGCGGGCGGGAGGGATCCCTGGCAGGCAGAGGCAGGGTGGGAGGGATGCAGCGAGCTGGGGGTGCCCAGGGCGAGGGGCGGCTCTCGGGGACGGGGGCTGGTCACAGGTTGACGTCGGTGACGTCCGTGGGGGTGCTGGTGGGCTGGCTGCCCCCGTACGCCGCCGCCTTGGCGCTGAAATCCTGCTGTGACTGCGACGCCTGCTTCAGGCTCTCGGCTAGAGCTGCCTCGATCTGCTCCTGACAGGCCTTCAGGCAGTCCTGGGGAGAGGGGGAGACACAAGAGGCTTCAGTTCTCTGCTCCTCGGAGGTGGGAGCCTTAGGGATCACTCCGAGCTGGGAGCTGCATCTCTGTAACCAGAGGAGGAAACTCCCACTCGGATGCCGGAGCCCCCCGGACGCTCCGAGGCGTCAGCGCCAGGCACGGCCCAGCCCGGGGGAGCTCGGGGGCAGTTCACACCTCGGGGATCCTGTCACACCCCGAAATCTCTTACCAGGAATCCGCCAGCGGTTCTTAGAAACCGACAGAGGATGTGGCGAGCGAAAATAGCAACGCCCAGCTCCCCTTCCCCGCTCCCCTTCCCCGCTTCCCGTCAGCGCCGCCTCCTCCTGCCAGCGCTGCAGCCGAGCACCAGGGACAGGGCCACCATCCCTGGGCTCTGTCACCACGGCCAGTCCACCCCCAGGCTCTGTCACCATGGCCAGTCCACCCCCAGGCTCTCCATCCCCACTGCAAATCCACCCCCAGGCTCTCCATCCCCACAGCCACCCAGCCCCAGGCTCTCCACTGGCAATTTTGGCAGAGGTGCCCAAGCCAGCCTGGCCATGCACTGCCAGGCTCCTGCTGGCCACGGAGCCAGCCCTGCACCCCCAACACTGCCCTGCTGGCCCTCGGCAGCTGCAGGAAGGGGGTCACCCTTCCAGCTGGAGCCAGAGGGGAAACTGAGTCACAGCCTGGGGACACCACAAGGCTCAGGGAGAAGCATCTGCAGCACAGACACAGGAGGCCAAGGCCAGGAGCTCCACGGGGAGCCCTGCAATGCTGTGGACACATCCAGGATCCTCCAGGGGCTGCCATAATCCTGGGTGTTGGGGCACAGCAGATGCCCTGGGGAGGGAGGGTGGCAGAGCTGTGCTGGGCTCCATTTCAGCTCCCTCCCTGCTTCCCACCTGTTCCCCCCCAGCCCTGACCTGCACAGGTTGCAGCCCCTGCCCCGTGCCCGCAGCAGCAGCTTGTGAGCAGGTGGCTGCACTGATTCTCCTCCAAACAAAACAATTCCATCCGCACAAGCGGCTCAGGAGCCTCCCGCCCGTCCTCCTGCCCGGACAAAGGCTCGGGGCAGCCCCCCCAGCCCAGCCCAGCCCTGTCAGGGGACTGTAACCGAGCCTGCAGTGCCGGCACAGGGCAGGAGGACAGATCAAAGGGGGCCCTGGCAGAGGGAAAGCTCCCCCTTGCTGCAGCAGGAGCGACCTGGGGAGCCCAACAGGATCCTCCTTCCCTTCTCCAAGGGCAGTGGAGGGGCTGGCAGATGCCCCCCTTCCCCCCCAGTCCTGGGCACCTGCAACCAGACACCGCAGAGGGGAGCAGATGCCGAGCCCGGAGTCTCCCTCTGTCCCTTCCCACCCTGTCAACCCGATCCTGCCAACACCTGCCCCTGCAGGGAACAGACGCTGCCCTTTGTGTGGCATTTCAAAGGCTCCTCAGCCCACCCTCCCCTGCCCAGGCAGGAGCCACTGCGGCCACGGGGCTGTTTTTGGGATGCTCCCTCTTCCTCTGGCTCTCCTCAAAGCAGGGTCAGCACCATCATTAACAGCCCAATTGCAAAGCACCACAGAACAGCTTGGGTTGGAAGGGTCCTCTGGAGTCTACCCAGTCCCACCCCCCTGCCAAGGCAGGGTCACCTGGAGCAGGTGACACAGGGACGTGTCCAGGTGGGTTTGGGATGTTTCCAGAGAGGGACGCTCCCCACCTTCCCCATCCCGGTGCTCTGCCACCCTCCATGGAAAAGCTCTCCCTCTCAGAAGGAGCAGCAGCAGAGGGAGGGCTCCCAGCAGCTCCAGCAGCTGCTCCCTGTGCCCACTCACCACGTCAGTGCCTGTGATCCCGGCCAGCAGCTCCGTCATGGCCTCGCCGCCGAAGCCGCTCACGGAGATGGTCAGCCCGTGGATGGCGGCTCCAATGCTGCCCGTGGCGATCATGGACGGGGGGTACATCACAAACGTGCAGTCTGCAGCAGCACAGGGACACAGGGGCAGAGAGAGGCCCTTAGTGAGGGTGCACGTGGTGTTTGGGATCGTGATTCCCCTGGAACACTCGAGAGGGGCTGACAGAGGGGGCTCTGCAGCTTAGGAGGGAGAAAGGGGGGGTGAAGGAAAAGAAAACAAGCAGAGCAACAGCTCCAGAAGCCCTGAGGTGAGGTGGCTCTAGAGACTGAGGGAGAGGCTGAGAAAGGCAGGGGAGACCAGCCCAGGTGAGGCAGCACCCACCTGTGGCACACAGGGCGATGAATGTCTGGGCGTGTTTCTTCACCAGCTCCACGTTGTCCACGGGCAGCGGGAGGCGGTGGAGGATGTGGGGCAGGAAATCGTTGGCTATCACTGAGACCAGGTCCCACTTTAGCTTCTCCAGGACCAGAAGCTCCCAGTGCTGCAGAGCGAGGACAGACAGGATGTTACGGAGCAGGGCGGGAGCACAACCCCAGGGACAGGGAAGGGAAGAGGGACTGTCCCCACTGTGTCCCCAGCCTGTGGCACAATTCCAGCCCCGGGCTGCTGCAGAGCTGGGAGCACAGCTCAGAAGAGGAAACAATAAATCTGGTTTCTCCTTTCCAGGGAGCAGTGGGATCAGCCACCGGCACCCCTCTCTGTGCACGCTGCTGAACCATCTCCCTGAGGGAAACCAGGGCAAGGAGCAGCAGGCACAGCATTCCCATATCCCTCCTCCACTCCCAAGTGGACAGGCTGATGTCCAGGCTCCCAGAACAGCTCAGCCCAGGGGGATCCCTGTTACAGCAAAGGGAACAGAGCTCAGGGGCTGGGAACACAGCAGTTTGGCAGAACCTCTCCTACTCTTCCCACCTCTTCTCCACCATGAGAGCCTTCAGTTGTGCTCAGCAGAGCAAGGGGCACTGAACAGACACACCAACCCCCACCTCTGCCACCAACACACAGCCAAGGGCTCCTGGTGGTCCCCAGTGACTGCCAACGTCTCCATCCCAGCCGAGGGGCTCCCTCTGGACACCCAGCAGGGACCTCTGTGGGACCTCCACGGGCCAGTGGAGCTGGCTGTGAGCTGGGGAGCAGATGGTGGGAAGGCTGGGTGCCCTGCATGGGTTTGAGCTGGAGCTCTGGCTGCTCCAGGCACCTGCTGAGCCTCTCCTGGCTCTGCCAGCCCCGGGTATCAGCCCTGGCACAGACACACCGTGCAGGGCAGCCCCGGCCCAGCCCTTGGCAGAGCCATCACCCAGCCAAGGTGTGCACTGGGAACCTCAGCACAGAGTTTGGGAGCCCTGCACTCAATTCCCTGCCCTGCCATCAGTGCCAAGGTCTCACAGTGTGGCTGGAGCAGTGACTGGAGCAGCAGCTGAGCCCAGCTCGGAGGCCACACACGTTCTGTCCTCCCTGGGCTGGGCAGTTTTGGTGTCACCTCTGGGTGTGACTGTGCCACTGACTCTCAGGAGAGGGAGCTGTGTCTTCCCAGGTTCATTTTTCCCCTCCCATCCCAGCAGCAGTTCCACAGGCAGCCCACACCCTCTCTGCTGGTCCCAGTTCCCCCACACCCCAAGACACAATGACCATCTCCAGCCCCAGAAGAAGTGGGATTTTTTTTTTCTCTAAGGTCAGATCTTAATTTTCTCCTTTTTTTTCTTGTAAACCCCCTCTCTCCTCTTACACAACAAACCAGCTTTGAGTTGCCTAAATGAGCAGCATTGCTCAACCTGCTCCAAAGCCCCTCCCTGAGGCCCAACGTGCCGGTTGCCACTTCACAGCCTGCACTTTTCCACCCAGGAAGCCATTCCTTGCCTCCACAGGCTCCCACCTCCCATATGGATGGCCAGCCTGCCAGGCCTGCTGGAGTTCTCAGCCAAATCCAGAGGATAAAAGCAAGAAGAAACCCTGCAAAGAGCTCCAGAGGATCACAGGTCATGGAGTGCCTGGTTTGAGGTGGGATTGGAGCAAAGAGGAGAGATCAGGTTTGGGAAAAGAAGGAAACACAGGTATAGAATATCCTGAGTTGGAAGGGACCCACAAGGATCAAAGTGGGTGCTGGACACTGGTTAAATTGCAGCCACACAGGAAACAGCCCTCTCTGGAGTGGCAGAGCCTGTTCCTGCTGGGATATTGTCCCAGGGAGAAGATCCAGATCCAGGTGCAGCTCAGCCACAAGGCTTCACCTGGGACATGGACTGATCAGGGCCAGCCTGTCCCTCTGCAAGGCACAACAGCAGCTCTTTTCCAGGCACAGGTTCATCAGCATCCTCTCAAACCCTGGCTGTTCCAAGAGGCTGATCCCAGGGCCCCGCCGGCTCCAGGGATGGCAGCTGAAGGCGCCCGGCGCCAAGGACTGTCACCAGCTCACAGGATTTAGCTCGGGGAAGCCTCTCTCCTGCCAAACCACCCTGCTCCTCGCTCCTCTCCTGCTAACCCTGGGGACTCCCCGCCCTCAGATCCACGTCAGGATCTCTGAATCACTTTATCTGTGGAAGGAGCAGAACAAAAGCAGCAAGAGGCAGGACAGGCAGGTTCCCGGTAGCAGCATCATTGATGGAGCTAACATCCTCTTCCTGGCATTTTGTTCTGCACCTCAGTCAATCAGTCCCTGCCTGGGTAATGAAAGGGAGGAAGAAAGTGCAAAATGTCCCTTTGTTTCTCCGGCCTCCAGAGCTCACCCTCCTCGTGGAAGGGCTGAAAGCTGCCAGCACTGTCCATGGAGCATCCCAGCACTGTCCATGGAGCATCCCAGCACTGCCCCTGGAGCATCCCAGCACTGCCCCTGGAGCATCCCAGCACTGCCCCTGGAGCATCCCAGCACTGCCCCTGGAGCATCCCAGCACTGCCCCTGGAGCATCCCAGCACTGTCCATGGAGCATCCCAGCAC